TATGGTAAAAGTAAACCGAACATGCGGAATAAACGTTTCCTTCAAATTTTTAGTAGATTAACTTTGAATAATGTATAATTAACGTAGACATTCGTAGAAATTTGTTGGAATCTATAATAAACATCGATTACGAAGAGTATTATTCAAAGTAGCATAATGTTCGTTCTCATTGCACTGTGGAAATTCATTTGCAAATATGAGGTTAGGAATTTTCGTATATCGAAATATGCATCTCGTAGGAAAGTTTATGCAATGCAGTTTCGATGTTCCGATAATTCTCGAATTTCAGCAACTCAGAAGTTATTGTCAACCAGCGAACAAATAATTCTCAAAGTTTCTGATCGTCGATTATGTGGAACGCGTAGGAAACCAATCGACGTTCGTCGATAGGCAGAGTTAATCAGTGAATGTAGTCGTCCTTCTAGCCGCGTGAACACGAAAACGGCAGAAAGTGCGTTACGCGCATTTGCGTTCTCAAATCCACTCTCTGTCGCTACATAGAAAGTATCATACACATGCGATTAACTTGGTCGATTCTATTCGAATTCCTGGTACAAACGACTTGAACTGGTCCGGTTGCATTGCAACTTGCTTAAGATAGATATATGATATTCCAATAATATTTGAAATGTCATATAATCATTGTAGAAGATTTGAATAATTTTGTTCGAGCAATTAGTAAATCTTCTAAACCTCAAGTGTAAAAAATTCTAATTCAAATATGATTGAAATTTGACATTTTATTTCCAAATTTAATACTTTATCGTACTACATAAAACATGAGAACGAGGATTATGAATTTTGAGTGGATCTGTTATTCACTGAAGCGACGACGAGCGAAAAATATAGTAGAGTAACGCTAGATCGATGATTCAAATCTCGATTTTGGTAACGCAAGCAGTTTATACGTTTCTGTTTGTCGCACACAATTTCTGAATACCAAAGTATCTTACAGTAATCCCGTTTTGATGTCTGCTAAAGGTGTTTTACGTGCCTCGAATTTTTGTATAACAGAATAGCATATTCTCGTAACGCTTATGCAAGCTTATCGCTCGACTTTTCAATTTCGATTTCTTTCATACCCCTATATGTACATACATATATGAACATTAGAATAAAACTCTTCATTGTTCGCTATTTATA